GATAAGTAACGTTTACTTGTAGGCATCGTTTTACATATTGACAACATCGTTTTACATATTGACACATATAGTTACATTTCTTTTTATATGCAATTTGACATTATTAGCATAATGTGATATTGTTTTTCATTTGAAGAATTTAAATTTTTTTAAACTTGACTTTTACCTCTATTTTAAACAATTGTTAGTGCTAGGACCGTGCGAGACTTTTCTTTTCTTATTTCTTACTCATACTCTGACAGTTTGAGTATTTGTGCGACCCACGCAAATGTTCTTTAGGTTGGTATTGTTCGTCGAATCACTCAGCCTCATCTGTTAATTGAGCTGACTGTAAACCGACACATGCGTACTGCTTTCAGAACGGGTCCGCTCAAACTGTTGTGGTTCTTTCCTCAAAAGGCCACTACAGAGAGAACTTGCACGGTTCTCACACATAATCTTTTTATACATATTTGTCTGGACTTTAAAAGAGACAGACCTCTGAGTTTGTTTCGGCATTCCCTCTCAGAGTAGTCAGTTAGGAAATGTCGACCTCATCGTTCGCTTGATAAAATTGACGTGTAAAAGTGCTGCCTTGTAGTCTATTTGCAGAAATAAATTCACTTGTTTCACATGTGAACCATGTTGATTGCGTGATAAAAAAAAATTGAAGTAAGTTTTACCGATGATCAATAATCATGCTGATTCGGTGATAATGTATGTGCCTTATCAATGTGTATGATTACAGGATTCCATCAAAAGAATATTTAGGATGGACTAAAAGTCATAGTCAGGTGTGTCCGAGCGGATACAGAACGTCTGACAAGATCGAGTGTGGTGTGGTGTGTAGTGTGGTGAAGGCTACAGCGCTAAGTGTTACGACTGCTAATAGATGGTATACTCGTGTGGAAAAGCGACACAGACTGTGGCGGAGTTTCTAGTGCTATGTGGATAGCTTCGGACTGTAGAAATGTGTCCTTCCCACACAATATGGTACGCTAACATTGTGTGATATCTGATATTCTGATGTGTATTGTGTGTGTAATGTGCGTGTGAATAATATGCTAACGTAGGTATTAATTATTACACATGTGTTAGAGACTCATGATATGCCAACGCCGTGCCTATGTCATGTAGTCGTTATAGCAGAGATAGCTAACGTCGTGCTTCCTCTCTGAGTATGTTTTATGATTGTGAACTATGCTAACGTCGTGCCTATGGTTCACTATTGATTGTGTTTTTTTTTTTTCCTGTGTTCGTGACTCATGATACGCTAACGCCGTGCCTATGTCATGTAGTCGTTATAGCAGAGATAGCTAACGTAGTGCTTCCTCTCTGAGTATGTTTTATGATCGTGAACTATGCTAACGTCGTGCCTATGGTTCACTATTGATTGTGTTTTTTCCTGTGTTCGTGACTCATGATACACTAACGTCGTGCCTATGTCATGTAGTCGTTATAGCAGAGATAGCTAACGTAGTGCTTCCTCTCTGAGTATGTTTTATGATTGTGAACTATGCTAACGCCGTGCCTATGTCATGTAGTCGTTATAGCAGAGATAGCTAACGTAGTGCTTCCTCTCTGAGTATGTTTTATGATTGTGAACTATACTAACGCCGTGCCTATGTCGTGTAGTCGTTATAGCAGAGATAGCTAACGTAGTGCTTCCTCTCTGAGTATGTTTTATGATTGTGAGCTACGCTAACGTCGTGCCTCTAGTTCACTATTGATTACTTTACTGTGTTGGTGACTTTATTTATTTATTTATAATTACAACAATATAGACTAACAGTATTATATCTACCAAATCGTCTACATGTCACTAAATACACAATTAACTCGTCGAGTACCGGTTTTATAGACACAATTAAAGAACAATAGGTCGCGGTCACCGGTGACCGCTTGGTGTTTGACAGATTAAAATATTACATTATAACTAAAATTAGGAACAATAATGAGATCAAATACAGTTAAATATTTAAGTAATAAAATATTAAAAAATCAACCAAACAATAAAAACCGACAATTCAAAAACAACCTATTTACTCTTACCTACCTAACAAAAACAACCTATTTACTCTTACTCAACCTACTTTAGACTTATGATATGCTAACGTCGTGCCTGTCATGTAGTTGTTATAGTAGAGATAGCTAACGTAGTGCTTCCTCTCTGTGTTCCTCTCTGCCTGTATTTTGAATTATTATGGATCAATGTGTACATGTAGTTGTTTGTGTCGGTAACCAACGACATCCCGATACAATTTTTATAATTTCAGGTGCAGAAGGTATTGAACTCACACGTCACGTTTTTGGTAATTGATAAGATTAACGATTTAATATGGGTCGATGTGTCTTCGGAAAAAACCGGTGTCCCGACCCAATCCTTATGTTCTCAAGTGATGATTATGTTGTTTCCATGGATCATGTGATACGGTAATATGATGCCTATCATGTGGTCCACATTAACCGAGATAGCTAATGTTGTGCCTCCTCTCTGGCTATTTTTTTGTGACCTGCGCTAACGATTTAATATGGATCGATGTGACCGCCGGTAACCACCGTCGTCCCGATCCAATTCTTATGTTCTCAGATGCAAACAGTATAGAGTTCACAGCTGAACAAGCTGCCAGAAGCCGCGGTGATGTCCCTGCTACGGAGCGTGTGCTGTAAATATGTGACAGTGCGACACAGGAGCACGAGGACGTGCTCCAGTCAGGAGAGGCCGTGTTAGAAGCATAGACAAAAAGGAACGAAATGTCATCGCGTAGCGGGAAAATATAATCTGTGGTTCGAACAATAAAAAAAAGTCAAGATGGCGGGAACTCGGAAATTATTGAGACGGTGTATTTGGTGTTGAGGGAATTTTATTCTATTTGAAAGTCAATTTGCCTATTCATGTGTTATTGTTGTTGTTTTTCTTTCCAATTAATAGTTATGGTTTAGCTAGTTCTGAATTTGTAATTGGATTTCGATGTTAACAATATAAGGTGAATTGTAATGGTGGTACTCTTTATTTCTCCTGTCTCCTGAGTTTCTAAAATCCAATGTGGTATAAAACAAATAAGTTACTAATATCAAAGAGCAAGGTGAACTCTATGATAGTTTTTAAGTTTTCTAATAGTATTATATTAACTAATAAATACCGCTACAGAGTAAAGAATTTAATGCAAACATTAATTTTATTTTCGTAACAAAATTACGAGTCAAAATATAATTTGAATAGAAATGTATGAAATGTTCATTGATCAATTTCTTATCGACACAAATAGACAACGGTCAATGTCACATCACTATCGAAGGTCGATTTTGGCAGTAATAGAATTTTATTTTCGGACATAGAAACACGTTGAGGAAACAACAGAGTTATAATATTATTGCAAATACCTTTTGTTGTGACTTTAGCGATATCCAGTACATCGATATAATAATATTTACATTGCAATTTAACAATAACGCGAAACGTTAGATTATGCACACTATTAATGTCCTTGTACACTTTCACTTTAGTTAATTTTAGTTCACTGGTTCACAGAATACTGCGTAAAACAACGATTTGTTTGATACAAACATTGACAGTACTAAATATAACCTAAATGCACGTCTTACTACACCAACTGTGGATGAACAGCTGATTGTGAAGTATGCAAAAAGTACCTTTCGACCACTCACGACAAATCGCGATGGCTACTGATGGCTACGTTTTGGCTTAATTAATGAATGACCATACATTACTGTACATTCAAATAGAAAGTCCTTGCAAGAAATAAGCAGTAAAATATTATAATTTCATTATGTTAAATCGATTTGCGAAAATTTTGCACCAATTTATTCATATTTAACTAATATTCAATTGGACTTGATTGTTTACAGATATCAGCATTTAATTTATATACTGTAAGATACAACAAATAATCATCAGTTTCTTATCAGGAAGTCTGATACTTTTATCTTTTGTTTTTTATTTTGATTGATTATTCTATCAGAATAGAACAGCTGCTTTGACATTTTTGCCAATTATAAAAAAAAATAAAAAACGTATGGCAACTTTGTCAATTTTGTAATGTTACCAGTTTATGAATTTATCCAATTTATAGGTACTAGTATAGTGTGATAATTATGGATATAGTATAAGGATACATTGTATTAAATTTTTATAGTCAATTTATAATAAAGTATGACTTGTAATCAGTAAAGGACACCTAAATGTATACATTACATTCATAATAATAATCAACTTTCCCAAGAATGCTATGTTCATCCCTATCGAAGTGAATATACTCTACAAAAACCTGAACATGCACGCACTTAATTATACTATTTTACGTACACTGATAAACTTAAGTAAAAGGTTTTGAAGATTCTTTCATCCGTTATTGTTGCTATTATTGCTGAAATTATTAACATTTTCGATGCTATTTCTGGTTATATTGCATTCAAACACATTTCATATAAGTGACAAAACTATGGTTATAACTATTCAGCTGACATCTTCAAAAAGTACATACGGTGTAGAGTCGAAATAATAAAAACTACGGGAGATTTGCATAGTGTAGCTGGCAGCCCAAGAACTGTCATTGAAATTAAGTGTCAAATCGTAAACTGTCAAATTGTCAAAGTCAAAATAATCAATTTGGAAGATCGAAGCGTTTGTGACAAAATTCATCAAAAATATTTATCAAAGCTGCTCTAAGCAGTGTTATAATGAGACGGAGAAACAAAACATTCTGTTTAAACAATTAAAATTATCAGATGACAAGGTTATTCAATGTAAAACATTCCATTCGCGAAGTCGTACCAAGATCGTCCATAACCTTAATTTGTTACCTAATAGTTTTATTTTTTACATAACTTCCGTATTTTTCATTAGCAACACGTGAATTTAATTTCATAAATCATGGTGTAGTTATATGTAGTATTATACAATTTATATTCATCTTTTGTGGTCCGACTTCGAGTTGCAATGCAGTAATTTTCTAACGTGATTGTTTTTGAGTCAGAAAAGTCGATATTTTGTCATTACTATGACTGAATCAGGTGAAACGGATATCTGGAGAGACACATGGGTGCGCTACTTAGGTAAATATGAGAATATAATATTATGGCATCATCATGTTTCACTAAAATTTAATTATTTGAACCATTTTGTAAGATATTTCATCATCTTTTCTCATGTTGTAGCCGTGTAGTAAGATTAGTTCTGTATGAATTACATAGAAAACTAAAAGGCAAGATTATGAAGGTTTTAATTTCCTTATTTCACTTCCTTTAGTTAGCATCTACTTAATATATTGATATCAAACCACAAACAAGTTAATATTTGCTAGATATGTAGAAGTTAGAACAATTACATTAAGTAATGTGCATTTTTGAGTTGTAAATAATATCTTAGTAGGTATATCATCATTAGATATGTTGCATAATAAAAATTACAGTTTCATGATACAATTACCAATACAATAAACTTTTACAAACTTTTGTAACAAACTGCTGAGTACATGTTAATTTGTATTGTCTGAATTTGATGTCTAAAGATTGTTAAGGCTGGTGAGTGTGATATTATAAGGGACTTTTTCCAAAACACACATTTTGGATGTGTGTTTTGGAAATAACATACAGGAATACACATACTTCTAAAACTAACTTTTCTATCTCCATACATTTATTAAATTTGAACATAGAAGAACTACATGGTACTCACCCCTCATCCCTCATGATATACCGGTCGCTGAACAGGTCCATGTTGCAGGGTATGCCAATGAGGTAGGGGAATCCTTCCGAGCACTGGTCTCCTACAAGATCGTTCGGTTCAGCTATGTAGTGGCCTTTGCATACACCTTCGCCGATACTGGGGACAAAAGTTACAAAATGTTAAAGGTAAAGATTACAGTTACTAACTTAATATTTTTATTTCATACTAAAAATCCCCAAAATTTGTTTATACAAACATGGTCTCTAAACATTGGAAATAAGGTCTATATTGGAGTTATTGTAGAGTGGGCACCGGTGGCTGCTTGGGGATTTAACAGATAAATATAATTCTATCCAACAAAATGTGGAAGCTACTGAATGGATTTGAATGCAATTTAATGTGAAATAAATTATAGTTTGAAGTAACACATAGATTTTTCATTCTGATATCACGGGTGAACCTGAGAATGTATAAGTCTTTTTGTCTTACATTTTTGTATCTATTAGTTAGTAAGAAGGTTGTATCAATATAGCCCATATCACTAGTTATTATTTTGACCATGCTGGTAAATCCGTGAATGGAAACTTTGTAACTGGATATTTTTTTCATACAAGGTACTAATTATTTTTCAATACTGATTGCAGACAGATGGCCGACCAAAAAAAGTGCTTATAGAAGCGGGTGACGTTCTCATATGGCAGACGCTGGCATCTGTTATCATACCCGGCTTCGTCATTAACAGGTAATTACCAATATCTAAGTCTTTAAACACAAGACCAACGGCAATTAAGTACAAATATCACTTTTTCCGAGTTATATCTAAAGTACATACATACCTACTTAGATTATCTAGACACCACTGACAAACAGTGAAGGAAAACATCGTGCGGAAACCTGGACCTGAACTTATAATTTCTAATACATAATTAGTTTGAAATCGCCAACGCGCAATGAGCAAGCGTGGTCATTAATGCTCAAACTCTCCATGTGAGACAAGGCTTTGCTCAGCAGTGGGCACTTATGGGCTGTTGATGATTGATGATGATAAGTCTTTTAAACCGTGGTTTGTAGGACATGGATCATAATTACAGTGTGTATTGGTTTTTAATGTGTAATTTTTTTAAATGAGATTTATTGGTAAATGACCAGATGGATCACCAGATGGTAATTGGTAAGTAATTGGCACCGCCCATGGACACCCGAAACACCAGAGACATTCATGTATTGGGGAGATTGAGGAGGGGGTAATTGGGCCTCTGGTAACCTCATTTAGCACAATGAAACACAACACAATCGTTGTTTCACGTCGGTTTTCTATAAGTTCGTGGTATCATTCTGGTGGAGCCAGTCCATTCGTGCCGATGCACTGTCCTACAACTAAAGCAAAATAAAATAATCCAACCTACTTATACACTTTAATAATTTTTCAGGTTGTGCGCATATTCTTCAATGGGTCTGAAGAGATTTACAAAAATATCACCTATGACTAGGAATTGGATGGCAGTGGGTATTGGGCTGTCATCCATTCCTTTCATAGTCCGGCCCATAGACTCAGGCACCACGTGGTTTATGGATTCCACTTACCGACGATGGGTCAAGGTATTGTGAACAGTTGAGTTACTGTAGTATATAATTATCATATTTTTAGTTGATTTGGGACCGTTTTTTAGATAACCAAATGGCGCTAGTGTAGAAAAAGGTCTTCTTCGCATTATAATCGTGTACTGTCAAAAATATAATGTCTGACGTTACAAATTATATTGCATAAGGGGCTTTAACCCACTAGCGACATCTGGTGATAAATTTCAGGCATGGTAGCTCATTGGGATGTTTCCTTAGGCAAAAATGTGTTCAGACTTATCGATGCTTTAAAATGTTTCAAAGTAATGTCAATATAACTGTTCGATCTGATTATATTTAGTTACCCAATTTTTTAGCTGATTTAAATGAAACAATATTAACATAAGCTCAAAAAATCACGCCCTAATTTGGAATCTCAGACAACTAAAAAAGAATATATTATTATTATATTTTACTTTTGAGAAATACTCCAGTTATATTTCTATATGTGCCATGTAGGTAAGCTCCACGATAACGCCTAAGTAGTACATTTTATGTATAGTAGAGTATTGTATGCCTGTTGAAACTCTGAGAAATATATTACCTATAATAAGTATAAGTATTATATAACGGAATGATGAGATGTTCAATAATTAAATAGTTTATATTTAAACTGTCAAACACCAAGCGGTCACCGGTGACCGCAACCTATTGTTCTTTAATTGTGTCTATAAATACGGTACTCGACGAGTTAAACATAATGAAAATGTAATATATTAATTATATTATTGACTAGAGATAAATTGATTGTTCCGGCCAGTGCATAATTTATATTAATAGCAACAAGACGCAATTCGTAGGTTACTATGAAAATTTGTAAAGGCGCTAGCGCTCGTATATGGGTTGCAAGTGCTGCCATAACATTTGTCTCCAAACTGCGTACCTTGTATCTCGCCTTTTTTTAAATATTTTACGAGTTTTGGGAGACTATTAATTTTTGCCATCATTATATCCGCCAAAGATATACTCTTACACTATTTCAAAAGAAGTGGTAAATCATTAAGCCTTTGACTACAGACAGAAAACTGTTGAAGGCAAATCCTCCACTAACCTACGTTAGTGGTTAACAACTATTTTGGACCAGACTGGCTGAAAAGTAAATCCAACTACATACCTACTTAATACTATTCACTCACATCACAGCTAGTGCTGTAATTCAGGTAGGTAGTTTAAAAAGTAACATATAAGGCGAGTTTCATGGCATTAACAACATTACGTTATTATTAATAGAGACGTAAATGTCACATTGTCTTGATTTTTTTTATGAGGGGTGAAAATCATCCAATATTTTGAAGCGAGAGAGTGTCAGACTATTACTAAACGCTACCCCATTTCTTCTTCTCTGGTAACCTGGTAGGTTGTCCGTAGTTCCCAATCGGGCAGCTACTAGCCCATGTTACCATGTCTGGAGACAACTGTTCAGACGTCCTGGTATAAATAAATCTTCCATACATAATATTCCAAATATTATATTTCCAGAACGAGCTCTAAGAGCGAAAATCTTAAAGACATGACAGTATGTCAAGTACAAAGTACTACTCACTAAGCAAAATGAATAAAAAAAGCTACAAAATTGCCTTGGAATAGACGGACAGTATTTTTAATGGATCTGACATTATTTAGGCGATCTTAAAGGCAGCAAGATTTGTGTAGTGGTTCATGCAAGTTGTGGAAGCAAATTAGACCGGTTATTTTAAAATATTATTATATTGTTGGTGATTGACATTTTGAGTGCTTTTAGACACCTTTATAACTTAAATTTTATCGTTTAATAAATGCAGGCAACGAACTACTTGATAAAATTGTTTTGCGCAATTGTTGCGCAAAAGCTAAATTACTTTTGCGCAAGTAACGTTAACGTCTTTTGACCTCAAATTGTCAGTCGTCAATTTATTTATTTTTATTGGTGCAGAATAATAGAAATTACAAATATTTTTGTATAATTATTTATTTCTGATGTAGAAAGTGTTCCTAGTTATACAAAAACTAGTATTTCCAATAGTAATGTCATATTATTTTACAAATCATTAGAATAAAATGTTAAGAGTATTAGGGAATAGAGCATTTGTTGGTTGGCACAAAAATTACACCAAATTAGATCTTAGATGAAATTCGATGTGTGACGTCATAGTTATGTAGTAGAATGATTGGTATGTTAAAAACAGCTTTAATGCTTATAATATAAGGTCTGTAATTAATTGAGAACACCACCCGTTATAATAAGTTACGGTCATAGGTCAAAAGTCCGTAAGACTACTATCGGTTGCGCTGCAGCGCTTATACACACATGCACACGCATATTTTTATCCGTGTGCGTACGCGTGCGTGTGTTTTTATGCACACATTCATATGAAATTACTTACGTATTGCCGTGTGAACTTCACTCATCACACACACTTCATCACTCACAGTGGCAGTGGACTTTTGACCTTTGACTGTACATTAAGGGGTTTTAATTCCTTTTATTTGCTATTTATAAGCATGTTCCTTTTACAAATTCTAAAATATAATATAAATTATAAACGATATGACGTCAATTCATAAAAAATCCTATATATAATTGTATCAGTATTATAGAATATAGTTAACGCCTAGTACTAGTTTGTTTTATGTTAATGCAATGCACACGTTTATGACGTTCGGCCCTCTGATTGGCTGTTTCAAGTTAACCAACGTATCGGAGGGCGCGGTAACATAAAACAGACTGGCATTAGGTACTATGATGTTGGAATGGCTTGATCTAGTTCAAAAGCTTTGCTAAAGTCGGATTCAAGGAACTGCAAAGTGTCCTTACATTAAGTTAAATTTTACAAATAAGTATACATAATTATATTTGAAAAGCATTTGGACATTAATTTCAATTGTATTTCGTCCTACTTAAAATAAGGCAGACAGATATTGTTTATTTGCTATTGGAATTTTGATCTTATCGATTTTGGTTATAGAGTTGAAAATAGGTCTGTTTGTCCTATTACTGTTTTGCAAAACATTGAATTTTTGTAATACGTCTAGTTAGATTTTGTCGATGGTTTTTTTAAAGAAATTCTATTGAACGGTGTAATTTTATTGATCTTCTGAAGTTATTAGGTTTTTCACAATTTTAAAATGAATTTTTTGAAAGGCAACTGAAATTATTTTATTGTGTATTCATTATTTTGTCTTAGAATTTTTTTTTAATTCATTTTATTATTATACAAAAATAATCGACATAATCTATCTAGACTCAGATAAAATTCAAATGCTATAAATATTAGATACATTTTTAGTCTGTGATAAACAATTCCAAAGTACACTAGCGAATCTTCATAGTGGTTAATTTTGACAAGACAATATAAAAAATATACATTTTTTTTTAATTTTCTTTCTATTAGCGATACATTTTGTTTTTATTTATTTGACATAGTCTAGCGACATTGTTATTATTTATTGTTCCTGTTACCTGTTGAATAAAATCTGGTTTACATCTATTTTTTGTTGTTTTAATTATATTTACTGCCTGCCTCGTTGGCCGAGTGGTCGTTTTCGATTCCCGGGTCGGGCAAAGTATTACTGGGTTTTAAGTATTCTCAGTAGTAGCACGGAGTCTGGAATTGTGCCCGGTATATGGCAATAGGCTCACCCCCTATTACATGGGACTCATAACATAAATAGTGAAAAGTGGGTGTTACATTGTACAGTGGTATAATGTGCACCCCTGCCTACCCCTTGAGGGATAAAAGGCGTGATGTTATGTTATGTAATGTTAATTATATTTATTCAATAATTAATTTTAAGTTGTATTTGAATATCGTGCCGTCTCTGTCATTTTACAAAGAATTTGTTGTGACAGAACTATACTTTTTTTCTCTTTTTTGGCAACCGAGTCTCCTATACGATGTTGTCAATTATACTGCCAGTGTCGAGTGGTGACGGCAGATTAATGAACCGTCGAACAGAAATATAATTAAGCGCGACTTAAAATTGAGTAGCGTTTGAGTATTTCGACAAATGTAATTTAATTGAGCAACGCTATTTTATGCAACTTTTCGCTATGAAAATTTTATCAGGAGCTCTAAACGAAACCTAATTGCGCATTAAATTAAAATTATTTAATAAAATTATCACTCCAATAATAAGACTAGTGACTTTTGAATACAAATGATTCACGCGTACAATTTTCCATAAAAATAAATAAATGCCTAACAATTTCAATAGGTCTTCGGGTCAAAAATCTTTGGCAAGCTCCTAGATTCCTAGAAATTGATTTAAGACATGCCAAGAAAACAAATGTATGACAAGGGTACGGACCAAGAGTTCGAGGAGAAATAATAATACGATAGTCAACAACTAAGTTAAATTCAATACTTTTATCAAAACGTTAAAAACGAAACTGTTCTATGAATTGTCAACGAAATACCAACTTGTGACGTCATCATATTTACGCGTCAAATACCACACTTATTTCTGGAAAAATTGCTAGATTAAATCGAAAATTAAGTATTTTTCAACATTGAATTTCATTGAAAAATTAAAATATATTTTTTTTGATCCAGGAAGCTACCCAATTTTGCATAACGAAAATAAATACGGGTACATCTACATGATATTCTTTATCTATATAATAAGAAGGCATCTATATTATTTTATTAGAAGTTATCTATTCTACCATTCTCCATATTGTGGTAAGCAGACCAACCCCTTTCTGTCATTATCAAATAATCAACTTTATATAATTTGATTTACTTACTGAAGTCGAAAATCGAATAAAGAATTTGATAGATTAGTGTAGGTTGACCTGCAGCTGTCCACAGTTAGTACCTATATAGGTAAATAATAAATGCAGTACTATTCCCTGTATTGTTTTTATGAGACACAGAACATGTTTTGAATGAAGTTTATTGTAATAAGCGCCTATTATTGTGGTCGATACAATAGTATGAAGGTAGGTACATCATGTTTTCACGTGTTCTATGTATAACTAGGTATTGTTAGAGGACGAAAACCAACTAAATAAACGTCACTAGTTTATTATGTATTATCGACAGCACTAGCTGTCATGTTGACGATGTCATCTGTCAAATGTGACAGATTAGTGAAGTTTCCTGCGCAAAGAGTTGTAACGTTATTTTGCGTTTTGGAGACTCAGTTGCCAAAGAAGAAAAAAAAAACGTTATTTTGGTGGTAAGTTGATGAGCATCACGCTGTTTTCTACAAGAATCCGTTTAGAATAAACTTTTCAGTATTGAAGTATTGAGTATTACATAAAAGTATGTAGATAAATACTTACTAAGCTCGCACATAATTATATAAGTTACCTTAAACATAATAAGTAATTATATAAAGAAAACAGTACAAAACAGAATTTCTATCTATGCGACCAGAATGATAAAGGAGTTATATAATCTTAATGTGCCCACAGGATTTATAAAACAAAACAAGATTTTTATTTTTCGATTTTGACTCGAAAAGACACTGAAGACTTGACACTAAAGATGATTTTAGCTTGTAAAGTTATAATTACTATTAGCCGAGAGCGTCCAGGTATCATGGTTGACTGTGTTGATATGGTGTTGATCATCAGATCGTTAATTAAGCTGTGTGGTAAGTAAAACGGATGCAACACATGTAGGAATTATCTTCAATATACCTAGGTACTTATAAAATAATAAACGTTGGTCTTCAATAAAGCAAAATGTCACCAATCAAACCCCGAAGGTCTCGTAGGAGGGGAATATAACATTCATATTACACCAGTTAGAAGGTGACGATCTTCTTAGTGATCAGCAATACGGATGTCGCCAAAACCGATCTACTGGGGACCTTCTTGCGTATGCCACCTAAATCTGGAACGAGGCGGAACTGGCTGGTAGGAAGTTGGGATGGCTCGGTTAAATACAAGCTGGAAGCCCTTGAAACCATCGAGAAGCGCCCTCTCTGGGCTTCGGTAACTTACGGTTACTTTACCCGCATTCCCGACCGGGCTGGGGTCTGCGCCTACGCGTGTGGTAAGTTACGCGTTTTGTTTTTTTTTTAAATACTATATCGTTATTTAGTAGCTTAATGGTAAAGTCGCTATTCACTGACCACTATAAATGTGTCGCCGTACCTATTTAGCTAATTATAAAAATATTCAAATTTTAATACCATAAGATTCAAGATTTTTAATAGAAACAGGCTTTTTACTGTTGTTTTTGAATAATTTATTTAAATTAATTAGTCAATGGTCTATTTAAATTAATATTCTGTGTATTTTTGTTTTAAGTTTTAGCGAGAACAAATTGCCAAACCTGTATTATAGATATACTTACCTACGTAGGTATAGGTACGTAGAATTCGTACCTACTTATGTATTTTCGTTTAAAAAACCTATATTTTTAATTTTTTGAGGGCAAGTCGGAGGTCAGTTTATTTTTGACGAAGGCAATTTTAATTATTCTTTAGTACCTTTTCAGTTTACTTTCATTTTATTTGTTTCCGGAACAAAATTTCCGATTGACTTATGAGTCATTGGC